AGTTCGCGACTTAACTTATCCTCCTAACTATCTTATTTTACAGGATTATTGCGATCTTATTTGATCCCTGACATGCTCCGTCCATCCTCTTCCATAAAATCAGGTACACGTAAGACCGAGGGGCGCGCTTAGCGCTCCCCGCAGGCGGCCCCACGAGGTACTCCTACCGTTTCCTTCACTGACTATCCTATTTCCCCGTCCCGAAACCCCTATAACCACCGTTTCGATAGGAAAAAATGCTATGAATAGGGGTAAATGAGGTGCACTACTTAAACTACCTTTGCCCAAAATGATTATAAAAGGTAGTATAAATCGACGAGAAAACGCGCGATAATTTAAAAAGAAATTCAAATAATAATGTTAGTAACTTTATTGAACAAATTAATAAAATTACAAAGTAAGAATAAAAATTATTTTTTCAATACCATCGGTCCCGTAAAACGGAATAATGTGGCTTTGGTTTCTGCGGTTAGCCCTATAGTAGACTGTTACCGCATGCTGTCGCTGGGCAATGAAATATTCGCTTCGCGCTTCGAATTCATGCTCGAACCTGCTACAGCGTCAATTATAAGTGGTTCATGCACAAGGCGTTTCAGCATTAATAGGACGCAGTCGTTATTTAATCGCATACCCAATAACTTAAATACTGAGTAATTATCGCACCAGCATACAACACGGGCGACAAATGACTCGAATGTCGGCCATCAAGCAGTTATCGCTGCAAGGACAAAAAGCTGCGATAAAGAGGAGACCGGCAGCAGCCGATATGTACTGTAGTTTCTTAGCACGCTAGCTGCTGTGCCTATTCTGCTAATAGCTGGCCAATCGGCTTGGACAGATAACTGACACACAATGAAGTGAGATGAGGTTATGGCAGACTCTGAAAATTTTTTCCCCGATCCTTGATGGAACTCGCTCGTCCTGTTCTACCTTGGAGCTCACTCGAGAACCACCAGCTGCCGCATGGTGGTTAGTAATATAGCAGAACGAAGCGAGTGAGTTCCATCAGGGATCGGTAAGCACCGATGCACCAATGTGAATATCTCCAGATCGAAATGGGCAAGACTATCGCGTGGTGTTAAGGCTAAGAAATTTAACCCTAACGGCTGCGGTTTTTCAGGCTCGGTTTCTCTGGAGAGAAGGCAAGTCATGGGAAAGCGCCGGAGTGATAGGAAGAGTGCATTCTGTACATACGGAAAGGAGAATAGTTAATACAAAGTCTTGACTGCCAGAGCGCACGTCTAGCCGCGAGGCGGGCTAGGTCCAGAGTGATGTCTAGCGGCAGCCCCCGCATTGGGGTTTGTCCAGACAGGTTGAGGCCAACCTACTAATGAGGCTAGTCTAGTAACATGGGCATTTTATTGGACGGATTAAGGTCACGACGGGAAGGCCAGGCGTGCCTGGTCCCAAAGGCACGATGTCAGCGGCAGTGGGGCGCGAGGAGTCAGCATGCGGCGGACATTCACGTGGGGCTGATAATGGATTCCATTAAGCGCTAGCGGCGACTAAAAGACCACGGGCCCGTAGCTCAATGATTAGATCGTTGGATTTCTGATAAACAGGTCGCGAG